TTTTTTTTTTTTGTTCCTATCCTCTGTAGGTAAAATAGACATGCTGGTAGCCGGAGCTGGCACTGGTGGCACCATCACTGGCATCGCTCGCAAGCTGAAGGAGAAATGCCCTAATATCAAGGTGAGGCTCAGATCAGTACATAAATTCTGATACACCAGTCAATGAACTTGTTTTCCATCTATCTGTCTGTTTGCTTATTATTTAAAGGGGTCCTATTATGCTTTTTCACTTTTAATTTTAGTCAGTGTGTAGTGTGTATGTTTGGGCATAAAAAATCTTCAAACTTACAAATCTCAAAGTCCACTTCAAAGGGAGATATTTCGCTTTTAAAAAATCCCTTTTCAAGAACTACAACGAATGGCTCGTTTGGACTACAGCGTTTGCTTTCCGGGTTTTGTGATATCACAAAGCGGTCCATTAGAATATCATTAAATAATAGAATTTACACTTCAGTTATGAGACTAGTGTTTCCCATACATTGTGTTTTTATATCACTGTATTTCTGAAGGAAACCGACTGTCTTCAGAAAATTGGATGTCATTTTCATTTAATCTTGTATGTAATGTCTGATAAAGCAGTGTTTTTTTTGAGCGGAGTGCCTGTACAGCTTTTACCCCCAACAGCGCCTCCTGCTGGCAGAGAATGAGTTTGCATATGCATATATATATATATATATATATATATATATATATATATATGCGCCCCGCCTGGGAAACACTGGACTACAGTATAAATAAATTCAACTGTATAACAGTTTCACTGCAATTCATGTTAGAATTAAAGAACAATACAAATAATACATATGCAGTTATCTGTACATAGTAAATGCAGTTATTTTTAAGTGGTTGTTGACAACCTATCTAAAACGTGATTTAGAAAAAAACAACTAATGTTAGCACTCTAATATGTCTTGCAATATCTGTGCGTGCAAATTTTGGCAATATTGATGCCATCCTTAACTATACCGGAGCAGACGGAACTTGCTGCTTTGGCAAGGGGCGGGGCAGTACTGAAACACCGTCTAAGCTGTTCGCCAGTCACAACGTACTGGGACAGCTAACCAATCACATCACATCACATTTAGTTTTTCGGAAGGTGGGCCTTCATCAAACCCCGAAGTTCCGTTTGTGCCAGGATGGGGAGAAAGGTTTTGTAATGTAAATTATGTAAAAAAAAATATATATATGTTTTTCGAACCACCAAGCATGTTCTAGTACACCCCCAAAACAAATTAAAGACATTGTAAAAAAGCATAATGGGACCCCTTTAAGTAGTTTGGCATAATCTTTTATTACTATTTCTTATGAGTAACTACTTCAAGTCTTGAAAGTGTTGTTGTTGTTGAAAGTTTTGTTGTAGGTCATTTTGAATTCTGAATAATTACTATGTTGGAGACGTTGAATTAATTTAAAAACATTTTTACACCATGTTACAATTTTTTTTTCTTTCTTTTTTACGTCATTGTTCTCACATCAGATAGTTGGAGTGGATCCTGAGGGCTCTATCCTTGCTGAGCCAGAGGAGCTGAATAAGACTGATAAGACTCAATATGAAGTTGAGGGCATCGGCTATGACTTCATCCCCACTGTTCTGGACAGATCTGTAAGTTTGCATTTGCGCAGAAGGCTTTTATGCAGTTAAAATGAGTGTTTTATGTTGACTAATGGCAGTTGACCCTATCGCCATGACCGGTCTTAAATTTTACGTTCTGTAATTGACATGTCTTTGTAATGGTTGTGGACTGGTCCTATTAACATATAAAAAAATAGGCCAGTATGCATAGTTTTAAAGCAGAATCATTCAGAAATATGCCGTCGGTCACTCTTGACCAGTGCTGGACTGGTAATCTGGCATACCGGGCATTTTCCCAGTGGGCCGACGCACTTTTGGGCCGGTACAATTTTTTTAAATTTATTTTTTCCGCCAAGGACCGGCCCATCATGCAGGGACAGCTGCCCATAACAAAGCATTAAATAGACGGAGTGATAAGGGATCTTGCTCTGCCTATGTAAATATCGCTTTACCTCTCTTCCACCTTCCTCTCGGTCTCTCAAAATGGACAGACCAAAGGTGATGCTGAAAAGCTCAGGGAAAAGTAGCTTAAAAATGTGGAGGCGGACGCCGCAAAATGTGCCTCGTTGTCGGCATTTGTGAAATGTACACCACAGCGTTATCAAAAACAGGCTTGCTCTGCTGTGAGTGATGCGGTCCAAAGGGACAGGCAGGAGGAGGAGAGGAGTTTAATCGGTAAGGAGATTGATAACAGGGGCTCGCATGAAGGGGAAACGGAGGAATCTAACCTATCCTATGCGTGTGCGCACCATGAGTGTAGAATATGTAAACTTTTTAATAAAACGAAAATTTGTCCCTTGCTCTTTTTTTTTTTTTTGGAACTCCGACTGGATTTGTCTGAAAGAAGAGAGTCATATACACCTAGGATTCCTCGGGAGTGAGTAAAACGCAGCCTAATTTTAATTTTTGGGTGAACTAACCCTTTAAGGGTGGAGGGAGACAGCCTTCACTCCAACCCTTGCTGCAGAAAGGAAAGCACGACTCTGATTGGGCATCTCTGGGGGTCTTCTCGGTGAGAAGAATACCACTCGACGAACAGGTTCCACTTCAAGGCGTAAGTGTCTCTCGTAGACTGTGCTTCCGCTGAAGTGATGGTGTCCGCTACCTCTTGTGGTAGGTCACCTAGAACCTCCACATCCTATCCAGGGACCAGACATGGAGATTCCAGAGGTCCAGACGCAGGTGCCACAGGGTGCGCCGTCTCGGAGTCAGTAGATCCTTCCTCAGAGGAATCTGCCAGGAAGGGGCTGTCGTGAGGAGCATCAGTTCTGGGAACCTGGTTCGGTTGGGTCAGTAGGGTGCAACGAGCAAGACCTGCTCCTTGTCCTCCCTGACTTTGCACAGTGTCTGTGTGAGAAGGCTCACTGGGGGGAACGCATATTTGTGCAGGCTTTGCGGCCAGCTGTGTGCCACTGCGTCCATGCTGAGTGTTCCCTTGGTCAGGGAGTATAACAGCTGGCAGTGGGACATTTCTGGAGAGCCGCTCTGAAACGTCTCCAAATCAGCTGGACCATCTGGGGATGAAGTCTCCATTCTCCCGGAAGCGCTGCTATTGACAGCTCGTCGGCTGCACGGCTGAGCAGACCCGGAATGTGAATGGCCAGAAGCAACCTCAGGAACTTCTGACTCCAAAGGAGGAGGTGGTGAGTGAGTTGTGACATGTGACGGGAGTGCAGATCACCTTGCCGGTTGACGTACGCAACGGTCTCAGTGTTGTCCGTATGAATTGCTTTCGCCAAAGAGGCCGGTCTGGGACACGGAGGCGTTGAGGAACCGAACTTTGTTGGCGACCCTCATGTCGACCTGACACAGCCAGTGAGGTTTCCACTCAAGCCCTACTCGCTCGGCGGCCCGGGAAAGCATTGTCGTCATCTCTGGATCTGATTCAGGCATTGCCACTGTCCTGGAGGGCGGCAGCGCAGCCAAATCTTCCTCTCCAGAGAGCTCCGGCTCACCCTCCGATGCAGCGATCGAAATCCGATCATCGGAAGGAGCACTAAAGGAATACGGCTGATACGCTCCTTGCAGAGGGCCCAGCATGTTCCTTGGGCAGCTCAACTGGCTGCAGAGTGCTAGAGGAGCGATGGTCCCTCGAGGGTTGATTCCGTGGGGTGTTTGCCATCAGACCACCCGTGCTACTGCCTGAAGTAGTCCTCCCTGACTGCTGCCAGTACGAGAACTAGACGGAGGCAGAGGCAATGGAGCACCACCCCCTTTGAGGTAGCGGAGCCTGGTCCGCAACTCCGAGATGGTCATCTTCCCGCAAAGAGAACATGACTCATCCACGAACACCACCTCAGCTTGCTTAATACCCAGACACATGAGGCAGCAATCGTGACCATCATCCGAGAGAGGCCCAGGATTTAAAAGGGATTTTAGAGAATAAAGATAGTAAAAGAACTAGAATTTATTGTAATGCTTTTGAACTATTTGCAAATATGTTTGTTCAAATAGGCAAGCATTCACTCTAAATCATATGCCTAATATGCCAAAAATCACTCTGTTAATGTTTCTTGTCTCATCACATTTAAGGTGGCCTATTATGCCCCTTTTTACAAGATGTAAAATAAGTCTTTGATGTCCCTAGAGTGTGTATGTGAAGTTTATATGTTTGTTCAAATAGGCAAGCATTCACTCTAAATCATATGCCTAACATGCCAAAAATCACTCTGTTAATGTTTCTTGTCTCATCACATTTAAGGTGGCCTATTATGCCCCTTTTTACAAGATGTAAATTAAGTCTTTGATGTCCCTAGAGTGTGTATGTGAAGTTTTAGCTCAAAATACCTTACAGATAATTTTTTTTATAGCTTGTTAAAATTGCCACTTTTAGGGTATGAGCCAAAACGTGCCGTTTTCGTCTTTCCCTTTAAATGCAAATGAGCTGTTGGACAATGGTAGCTTTAGCAACATTAGCCTTACAGCGTGCCAAGAACCTCTTTCGGAAAGGCAATTAGGAAAACAAACGCGTGATGCTTACTACTTCTGGAGGTGTAGCTGGATCACGAACAGTTGGCACTACTCCATCCTTCAGGAGCAACTTTTGTGCAAACCTGCTTTATACTGACCCTCATTCACCAAGCAGTCCGGTATAAAATGATTCGTGCAGACATAAACGAATTTCGGTAGAGTTGAGGGAGCATTTTCTTCGAAAACAAAATTAATCCACCTTGTCTTCAACGGCTCAGATTTCAGGAGTAAGGAGAGAGCTATGTGGATTCATAGATCCAGCTACAGAACTCCTAAAACGCAATGGTGGACCGTGTACAACTGGCTGTGAACTCGCTCAGGGCGGTTCTATGTTAAAACGGCAGTGTCTGTCAACATTTGTGGGTGGGGCCTGTGGCTAATGTGACATCACATTAGCACCAATTCGGGAAAACGGGTAGTTGGGAGACACTGCTTATGATTTATGGGGATTAAAAAAAAGGCAGACATAAACGAATTTCGGTAGAGTTGAGGGAGCATTTTCTTCTAAAACAAAATTAATCCACCTTGTCTTCAACGGCTCAGATTTCAGGAGTAAGGAGAGAGCTATGTGGATTCAAACATCCAGCTACAGAACTCCTAAAACGCGATGGTGGACCGTGTACAACTGGCTGTGAACTCGCTCAGGGCGGTTCTATGTTAAAACGGCAGTGTCTGTCAACATTCGTGGGTGGGGCCTGTGGCTAATGTGACATCACATTAGCACCAATTCGGGAAAACGGGTAGTTGGGAGACACTGCTTATGATTTATGGGGATTAAAAAAAAGCGAGTGGATGGATTTTTTATCATTATAGGGTGGTTGTGTACACACACTGCCAACACACATTTATGTCCAAACCATGCAAAAAAGTGAATTTTGCATAATAGGTCCCCTTTAAACGAATGAATAGCATAAATTCTAAATGAAAATGGCAACATTTGACAGTAATCTAACTTTTCTATCATAAAACAGTTGACATATATTAAATGTTAAACTAACTAACTTATGTTGAACTATAATAAAAATAAGTTTAATTTAATTAAACGTACTGTATAAGATTACATTTAAAAAAAAAAGTTACGTTTTAGTTGATTACCCCAACACTACTTCCTCAATGAATGGAGTATGTGTACTGTACATGGTATGCAAATTCCATTTCCCATGACGCAGTGCACTGAAAATCCACTTGGTGATGTAAACGCAACACTGTGAGGTCATGTAACAGCAGTGTAGCATGCATTTCAAACATCTATCCTTCCTTGCTATATTAAATTATATTAAAATTGGATGTATTAAGCTTTGTTAATGTACCTTTTAAAACAAATTCTTTGTTCTCCTCACCCTCAGGTCTAAATTTCTTAGTGACAAGTGGATGTGTGAAAAGGGCTTCCTAAATGAGGAGGATCTTGTTGTCAACAAGCCATGGTGAGTGTAAATGCATACCCACATATGCACGCTTTCTTTGAAAGCACCCTTGTTATTTACACACCGATATCCTGTGGAAATATAGACACTCTATGCATCTGCTACTACACTAGTCTGCATTACAGTTACAGTTCAGCTTCTAAATGTAGAGATGTGATCACTCTCCCGAATGACTCTGTCTGTGTCTTACCGTGAGTTTTTATTCCCCTCCCCCTCCTCCCGTCTCCTGCGCTCGTCTATCTGTAGGTGGTGGAATCTGACTCTACAGGAGCTCAGGCTCTCTGCCCCACTGACTGTGCTGCCTTTAGTGTCCATTAAGAAGACCATTCAGATCCTGAAAGAGAAGGCTTTTGACCAAGCCCCAGTGGTGGACGAGGCCGGGTAGGTCATTCATCCAGGAACCTGTTTAACTAGAACTTGACCATTTTCTCAAGCCTCTGAAGATTTTAGTCTCATGTCCTCGAGGAGATCATGTATCGGTGCTAATCGCTTAAATCGATGCAGTGTCACAATTACTGCATATTCAGTGCTACGTAAAAATCGATTAAGTTGAAACATTATGGACAACATTGATAAGGATGTCAGACAATGAGAAGGAAAAATCCTTTAAATATATGTCTTTAAAAAATTGTTCTTAATATATTGAAAAACATTTAATGATATGCTAGGTAATTTTCCATTTACACTTTGAATGCATGCGTGCCTGGTATTCCCTTCGTTATGGGGACCAAATGCCCCCGCAAGTACCAGTAAATTTTGACTTTGTAGGGGCTTTTTTATTTTAGTTTGTCCCTACGAGGAAACAAGCTTATATATCATACAGAATTTATGTTTCGAAAACATACAAATGCAGAAAGTTTTGTGTGAGGGGTAGAGTTATAGTAAAGGGGCTAGAAACTAGTTTGTACAATATAAAAACCATTACGCCTATTGAATGTCCCCATAAAACATGGAAACCTAACGTTGTGTGTAATATAGGTATGGTTTAATTATTACAAGTAATTTTAATTCGGATACTGAAAAATTGCATCATAGAGGTCACTGTCAATAAAGTTTTGTTTTATTAGTTATTTTGAATTGGCTTAATACATTGGTTCTCAATCCTGGTCATTGGAGCACCGCAGCTCTTCACATCTCCCTGATTTGTGTCATCAGCACATTAGAAGAAGCTCCAAGACTGTCTGATAAGAGAGATTTCCAAAATGCACAGGGCTGAGGACTTCCAGGACCGAGATTGAGACCTAAAAGATCTTAATAGAAAAAAAGACTGTCATGTCATTAACCTAAAATTACCTGAATGATAAAACAGATGGTAAGTGGAGTAAGGTGTGGCTCAGTCTGGTGTCTGGTTTTCTCCCTGTAGGCAGATTCTGGGCATGGTCACGTTGGGGAACATGCTCTCATCCGTTCTGGCTGGGAAGGTCAGGCCATCCGATCCCATAAACAAAGTTCTTTACAAACAGTTTAAACAGGTGGGCATGCAAACACAGACACACCCTCCTTTCTGTCATACTGTGCATGCAACAGAAGAACCTAGAAAAAGTATGCACACGACATGTGCAAATAAACCTTGAGACATCATAATCCAGTGCATGTTGTTGGGGTCTGTAACAAAGACTCCTGCTGTTTTGATTTCTGAGGCTTGGATGGAAAAGCAAATAATAGCTGAATAATAACATGTTAATTGTACACGTCAAAGACAATATCAGTACACACAGTGCTACTTAAGCTGCACTGACAGATGTAATGTGATCGCTCAATAGTCGTCTTGTTTCTCTGCTTTGTAGGTGCGCCTAACTGATAACCTGGGCAAACTCTCACGTATCCTTGAGACGGACCATTTCGCCCTTGTTGTGCATGAACAGATTCAGTGTAAGTCATTTGACTCTCCGTTACACCTTTTCCTTATCAATCAGCTGTTCTCCATTTTCTTATTTTTAGTTCTATACACGATATACATAAATGATTCAGAAGTTTGGGTTTAGTAACCCATAGTAGTCCATTTGAAATAAATGCTGTTCTTTTGAACTTTATATTCACTTGGTAGAAGCTTTCAAAATAGAAAGATGCCAACATGCCCTCGAACTTAATTTTACCCAGACTACGACACACAGTTGCTGTCCAATTTAAAAGGTGGGACCTACAGCAAAACTATTGGTGTAAGGAATATAAAGGATTCTCAAAGCCTCTACTTCATGTGATCGAATTAACAAGGTATTGTACAAAGTGTACAAAAGTCTTACCACACAAAATGCAGCACTATTCAGGAACAACCGTCTTATTCATGGAGCTAAATGCAATACGGCACCAATTCCTGATATAGGACACGTGTTTTCCTGAACTCCGGATCACTGCTCCCCTTCCGTTGCCATTTGTGGCAAAGAAATCGCCTACATTGTGTTCCTGTTCAAGGACATTACACTTGCTGCTGTGGCAAACTCGGCCAAGTGCTAGAATAACACTACTGTGAGCTTTGCTTTTAACAATTAACAAACATTACATAAGAATACAAGGCTGCTTTGATAAAATTATTTGTTCTTGTTTTAATCATAAACTCACTTCATTTTGATAAATTTCACAGGAAACAAAACTTCATGTAATTTTGCTTCCCAAGTGAATGTATCTAGATTTAAGAATCTTTAGGCATTTGCACTGAACAACAAGACAAAAATACAGATACAAGTCACATTCTTAATTTTTTTATTGTTATTTTAAACCGTGTGATCAGAAAGTACAGTAAAACTTATTTCCATATTTCAGTGTTTGGGAGCGGAGTTGTTCAAACTTTAAGCTATTTTTTTGTCAAATTAATTAAAAAGTTGCCAACAGAGCTTATTGTGTGCTCCCTAAAAATGTACTTTTAGAGAACGTGTTCCCTTTAAATTATTACTTTTTCTTTACTCTGTCTTTAAAAAAAAAAATGAAGTACCTTCATAACACCTGTAAAAACCTTTGGAATGTATCAAATCTCACTATTACTATTCACTGTTACTATTATTAGTTTTAGTTAACCCTGGACCTCAGTCAGATGAAGTACAGTAAATGCAGGCCATGGTGTCATTGCAGTGGATGGTGTCCGCAGTCTGAATTGCAGTTCCTGTCTTACAGACATGAGCGAAGGATCCCCAAAGATGAGGCAGATGGTGTTTGGGGTGGTGACAGCCATTGACCTGCTGAACTACGTGGCCACTCGTGAGAGGAGGGAACGCTCGCTGTCCGAGTGCTCGCTGTCAGAAGATCAGTGAACAACCAAGAGTGTGAAATCACCATGCTGGAGTGTCCTTTTCTTTTTTTTTTTCACAGTTTTTAAGTTTATTTCTCTGCAAGTGGTATGCTCCATGTTTAAGAAGTTAGAATTATGCTTTTATAAAAGCCAGTCAATATAGATTTACATGTACATTTTTTTTTTCTCCGTTTACCTCATGTTCTTTTATCTCTCTTTATTTGACATTTTAGCTGCTTTGTTAGCCAGTCAGCATAATGAAGTAATATAACAGGTCAGCCAACCACCATTTGTAGATTTGTTTACTTTGCAGATTTGGTGTATATATATATATATGAATGTATTTTCCTTTAATAACTGCATGCAGTTTGATTTGATTTAGTTCAAGTCACATGAATTCATGTGCTCTCTTGTCTAAGCTATAACTACATCGCCACCTAGTGACTGCAATAACTTACGACAGGCATGGAAACTTCAACCTTCTTCAGTCATGCTCTGCTTCTCACAGTTTTTAAGTTTATTTCTCTGCAAGTGGTATGCTCCATGTTTAAGAAGTTAGAATTATGCTTTTATAAAAGCCAGTCAATATAGATTTACATGTACATTTTTTTTTTTCTCCGTTTACCTCATGTTCTTTGATCTCTCTTTATTTGACATTTTAGCTGCTTTGTTAGCCAGTCAGCATAATGAAGTAATATAACAGGTCAGCCAACCACCATTTGTAGATTTGTTTACTTTGCAGATTTGGTGTATATATATATATATATGAATGTATTTTCCTTTAATAACTGCATGCAGTTTGATTTGATTTAGTTCAAGTCACATGAATTCATGTGCTCTCTTGTCTAAGCTATAACTACATCGCCACCTAGTGACTGCAATAACTTACGACAGGCATGGAAACTTCAACCTTCTTCAGTCATGCTCTGCTTCTTGGCACAATTATCACTGGAGCTTGAAAGTAATTTTGTAGTCATGATTGATAGTAATTGACAAAGCAAATACTAAGTGTGTTTTGCAAAGCAAACTGCACCCAGACGGGGTGACTTGACATTTTTCTTGTATTGATGCAAGACCTGATATTGAGTGTAAATAAATCATGGTGGTTTGGACTTGCTTTAAACACACCACTCTGTGTTAAGCAAATTTGATTGTTTCATTTTTCTATGTTCTTTTCGTCTGACCTCTTGTAAATCAAAACTGTAACTAATAGAGACTGAATATGATTGTTTTTATATGAGTTAATGTGAAGTAAATGAATGTGCATGAGGGTGCATTTGCACTCCTGATCATAGTTTCTGTGCATGAAGCTGGGGTCTCTGGCTCAGAATGTCTTTACTGTATGTCATTTGAAGCTATTTTTTTGTCAAATTAATTAAAAAGTTGCCAACAGAGCTTATTGTGTGCTCCCTAAAAATGTACTTTTAGAGAACGTGTTCCCTTTAAATTATTACTTTTTCTTTACTCTGTCTTTAAAAAAAAAAATGAAGTACCTTCATAACACCTGTAAAAACCTTTGGAATGTATCAAATCTCACTATTACTATTCACTGTTACTATTATTAGTTTTAGTTAACCCTGGACCTCAGTCAGATGAAGTACAGTAAATGCAGGCCATGGTGTCATTGCAGTGGATGGTGTCCGCAGTCTGAATTGCAGTTCCTGTCTTACAGACATGAGCGAAGGATCCCCAAAGATGAGGCAGATGGTGTTTGGGGTGGTGACAGCCATTGACCTGCTGAACTACGTGGCCACTCGTGAGAGGAGGGAACGCTCGCTGTCCGAGTGCTCGCTGTCAGAAGATCAGTGAACAACCAAGAGTGTGAAATCACCATGCTGGAGTGTCCTTTTCTTTTTTTTTTTCACAGTTTTTAAGTTTATTTCTCTGCAAGTGGTATGCTCCATGTTTAAGAAGTTAGAATTATGCTTTTATAAAAGCCAGTCAATATAGATTTACATGTACATTTTTTTTTTCTCCGTTTACCTCATGTTCTTTTATCTCTCTTTATTTGACATTTTAGCTGCTTTGTTAGCCAGTCAGCATAATGAAGTAATATAACAGGTCAGCCAACCACCATTTGTAGATTTGTTTACTTTGCAGATTTGGTGTATATATATATATATATGAATGTATTTTCCTTTAATAACTGCATGCAGTTTGATTTGATTTAGTTCAAGTCACATGAATTCATGTGCTCTCTTGTCTAAGCTATAACTACATCGCCACCTAGTGACTGCAATAACTTACGACAGGCATGGAAACTTCAACCTTCTTCAGTCATGCTCTGCTTCTTGGCACAATTATCACTGGAGCTTGAAAGTAATTTTGTAGTCATGATTGATAGTAATTGACAAAGCAAATACTAAGTGTGTTTTGCAAAGCAAACTGCACCCAGACGGGGTGACTTGACATTTTTCTTGTATTGATGCAAGACCTGATATTGAGTGTAAATAAATCATGGTGGTTTGGACTTGCTTTAAACACACCACTCTGTGTTAAGCAAATTTGATTGTTTCATTTTTCTATGTTCTTTTCGTCTGACCTCTTGTAAATCAAAACTGTAACTAATAGAGACTGAATATGATTGTTTTTATATGAGTTAATGTGAAGTAAATGAATGTGCATGAGGGTGCATTTGCACTCCTGATCATAGTTTCTGTGCATGAAGCTGGGGTCTCTGGCTCAGAATGTCTTTACTGTATGTCATTTGATTTGCTTTTTCTTGACTTGTATTGCTGTTATAAGTACTAGTTACAAATAAAGACGTTATTTCCGGAAGGAATACTGGTTGAAATGATTGTTGTCACTACATCTGTCTTTCAGTCCAATAGATGGCAACAGAACATTTTATTCAGGCTGATGTGAATTACAGGTTTTCGTCAGTTTCCCCCAAACAACAGTAGTGAAAATGTTTAAAAGTTGTCAAATATATACATATATATATATATATAGTTCTTACATTTTGAATAGTTTAAAGAAATTAGGCTTGCATTAACAAGGAATAATGTGAAAGGCATAAAATGCCACAAATCAGTTTAATCTTTACTAAATTAAAATTCTATGAATAAACACAAAATAATGAATACAGCAAGGTGTAGCAGCACAATGACTGGTATCTGCCTCGGTTAAAAAAAAAAAAGTTACTTTTACATCTCAGATTTTATTTTTCACCTGAGTTATGTGTCTGCTACACATTTGAATTGAGTTTGTGGAAAGTCGTGGCATTAATAATTTAGGATGCATGTTGAAAACTAATCAAGAGGCACTAATTGGTCAAATTATTTATTTATTTTAATAAACCAGGGCAATATTTTAACATTCAGTCATTTGAACATATTTAAAGAAATCAACATGTTTCATAATAGGCACTGATATATTAACAACACATACACTTTTATTATGTAAAGATACTACAAAATCCTCTGTTAACTTTTAAAATGTTAAACTTTTGTTAAATTTAAACCTGATCGATAGCGCTGCCTGCTGGGGTTATGCAGATTAACACGTAATATGTCTGAGAGCTCAATATTTGTTCATTGCCAGTGATTTTTTATCAGTGGAATATTTAGTGTGGTATTAAAATGTATGAAATTATAAATATGCTGTTACGCAGTATTGCATCTTCAAGAGCCTTGTCATATTAGCAGCCTAATAAATCAGCATGCGCACAGAAAAGTACCGAGGTTTATTAATAGCAGTAGTAGCAGTATTTTACACTTTTTGCCCATATTTAGCTCACAAATATAAATGTATCCTAATTTCTCTTTATGGATCTCTGACCTCCTTCTTAGTAGCCACATTTCTCATTGTCCTGTCAAAATGAACTGCAAAGCTTCTAATGTGCTCACATATTAGTCTGCGTGAACAAGAAAGCATGTGTAAGTTTAACATGAGACTTGGCAAAGAAATGTGCTCTGCATGAACTTGCACAGGCGTGCATGAGTGCATGGAGGTTGTTTTGGAAACTTTTCATCCTCCATTCCATCTCCACTGATCATCAGTAACGTCATTAGTTTTTCCTTTGAAGCTTCCTGGCACTGGGCCTATGCTTGTTATGGGAAATCTGCCTTTGCTGTCGTACAGGACCCTTTCCCACTCGATCAATAATACAAACGCACATCACTGCTAATTAGACCTGAACTTAAATTTTCTGATGAACAAATCATGTTTCCAACTTACTGTGACAGGAAATGTTTCTAAAATAAAAACAGTTTCTCTTTGTTGGTGGTTTAACAGGACTGTGTTTGCACATTCTGATTTGTGCTGCTCTATTGAATTAACTGACGGTGGCTATGAAATGTGGACAAACTGGAATATTTGGTTCAGAGATCTGTGTCTATGGTGAGTTATTGTTGTAGGCGATTTGGATTAGATTGGATTAGATTGTTTCATATATAATTTTTTTATTTAGCAAGGATGTAATAAATTGATCAAAAATAAGATTTCATTTAAAATATAATATTTCACCATATTAGCCTACAGTTTTTTTTTTAATCAAATAAATGCAGCCTTGGTGAGCATAAGAGACTTATTAAAAAAAATCTTACCAACATTTGCAAGTTAGCATATAGTGTATATTAATACCTTATATATAGCCTACATAAAATATAATGATAAAATATTACAAAGAAATTATTATTAAATCATATTTATTATTATTATTATTAAATTTTCTATATGCTGATTAAATCAAATCACATGGGCATTAAATTAAGCATTACCCTCATAGATAATTAGTTTTTGTTCAGGCTTCCATTACTGAACAGCATTTCATTGCAATTTTATAATCGTTTAAAGGGGTCATATGACGTTGCTAAAAAGAACATTATTTTGTGTATTTGGTGTAATGAAATGTGTTTATGCGGTTTAAGGTTAAAAAAACACATTATTTTCCACATACTGTACATTATTGTTTCTCCTCTATGCCCCGCCTTTCTGAAACGTGTCGATTTTTACAAAGCTGATCGGTCTGAAAAGCGAGGTGTGCTCTGATTGGCCAGCTATCCAGTGCATTGTGATTGGTCGAATTCCTCAAGCGTGTGACGGAAATGTTATTCCCCTTAACATACTGTGATGCCCTGTCCGGCCGGAGCGACTATATATAAAAACATTAAAACCCTTTATCATGCCGCGTAAACATAAAACCATGTCTGCATTTGTGATCGGAGAAATGACAAACAACAAGCGCTACTCTACACTGCTCAAAACTTGCGTTTGAATCATCAGTGGCAAATTCTTTAATATAAAAAACGTACTTACAGTCTGTGAGTCAGAACAGCCGGCATTGTAGTCTACTCTCCCAGGATCAGGAAACAGTCCTCCATAAAATGTGCTGCACACATCTGAATATTTGGGTTGAACTGTTCTGGAACAGTGTTGTAAATACAACTTAACCACTGATTTCTAGTCGTGTCCTCTTTTGGAAGGCCAAACAAAGTAGTTTCACTTTCACAACGAAACACACGGCGGGCTAGAGTGAGTGGAGGCCGGCTTGAGTGAGGAACGGCTGGCGGGCTTGAGAACGGCGCGGCCTGCGGATTCGACGAGTGGCAGGCAGGCTTGCGGCAACCACATGTGACGACCTCGGGCTGGACTCCGCTTCATCCACGGTGAAAGCCGATCCAGCGATCCACAGAGAAGTTGTTGTATTCCCTCAGCGACCAGCACGGATCAGCTCCAGGCTTGTCGAAGCGAATTTCGTCCTCTTTTGGAAGGCCAAACAAAGTAGTTTCGCTTTCACAACGAAATACACAGCGCTTTCGCGACATGGCGGCGGCGGTAACAACAATACTACAGCGAGAATAAAAGTTACGCCTTCTTTCTTTGCGTGAACATTTGGGCGGCGTTATGCAAATCTTCCCACACAGTGACGTAGACATGTGGGGGCGTGTTAGAATGAGCCGTTTTAGGTAGGCGTGGTTGACTCTTAACTTTTATAAAGAATATCTCTTTAGACTTTAGTCTTTGCAACTTTACAGATCTTCTTTATGCACCAAGAGCTTGTAACACTCCAAAGAGAAAGGAAAAATTGACCCCTATTTCACTGCCACAGTGTTGGTAAGAGCCCTAATAACAGTGTCTCCTCTCAGCCCACAATCACACCCGCAGCGCAGCTTAATAAGACAGAAAGACCCTACAGCTCTGGCAGGAGACATGCCTGGAAAGTTGTGAGGCGAATGAAGTCCTGCTCCAACAAAAACATTACAAGCGCTCCTGTCTGTTTAACAGCATAATTTCCACTCATTACATGTGCTGTGCAGATCTCCGCTCACTCAAACAGTCCTGTATCTCCTGTGAGTGACTCACGAGGGCCTCTGCGGCATTCTCCGTCACCGCCAGCAAGAGGAAATTCATTAGAGAAACATTCATATTGAGATTATTATCCAGAGCCAAGATAACATTTTCCTTTCTGGAATGACTGCTTTTTAGCCTTCTGTGAAGTGAAACGCTCCAGTCAGGCTGCACTTTCTGTTGATTACATGGTTACTCCAGTAGGTGGCGACAAACAACTATCGTTATTTGCATTTCATTATGTTAGGTTCCAAATATGTTTCATTAAGCTAGCTCTCAGTATGTTAAAATGTGGGTGAGAGACCTCTCGTGTCTGCGTGCACAATGTAAATCTGCATGTTCAGTTTTAATCTCTCTCAAACAACGTCAAAAGCGAGTACAGCAGTTGATTAGAGCGGCATGGTTTCCAGTGCGTTGCGGTTGATTGATTCTTCAGTGGCTTTTTTGGTAATCGTTGATGGAGAAATGTGTGTCTGTGTGTGTGTGTGTTCAAAAGTCTGAATCAGTTGGTGTTCAGCCCTCTTTAAGTGCTGGACAACCTCCAAGAGCACGACAAAACTTTATTGCAAAAACGTCCCTGCCAACATCCTTCAATCTATTGGTTTCTGTTCTTCTCATTTCCAATGATGAGGCTGTGACACTCAGTTCACTTATGGTCAAAGAGAACAAGTGAAATGCACATTAACATTTGTAGTCTATTAAGACAAAAAGGCAAGTCAAATAATGACACTCCCCAGCTCTTAATGCATTGCATTGCATCCTGAGGATCAGTAAATGTTTTCACCTTTTGTAATATATGTATGAGTCCCTCAGTTGTCCTCAGTGTGAAAATATGGATCTCAAAATCATACATTCACTTCTGGAAAGGGTTCAAATATGCAGGAAGTTGCTGGAAATCAAAGAATGTGCAGGAGCTGGGGGATTTTTCTGAAGGACAGCAGGCAGTTTAACTGTTCAGGACAAACAAGGGAATCATGAGCAACTACAAAATATAAAAACAGTCGTGGATCATCCAGGAAATGACATATTATTAAGTTTCAAGGCTATGTAAACTTTTGAACGGGATCATTTTTAAAAATTCAGTTATTTTGTCTTGTGGAGTATGTAAACATCTGTTATGTGAAATAGCTTATTCAGGATAGTACTAAATAAAAAATAACATGCAATTTTCATGATCCCTCTTTTGTTTCAATTATTAACATTTTGCACATTCTGCAAGGGGTATGTAAACTTATGCGCACAAATGTATATATATATAGAGAGAGAGAGAGAGAGAGAGAGAGAGAGTGCGATAATTGTATGTATTATCATTTTGGACACAATTACTCTGTTATTGTTAATACATTTAAGAATAATTAAGTAATTGTAAATTGTAATTGTAATTGTAAAGTCATTAACTATGGAAATTATTTAGTGACCAGAAAATTGTTAACAAATCAAAACTCCTTCATTTAAGAGATCTTACTCTGGACATTAATTCAGCCAACTTCATGAAGT